GGAAAACACAAATGAGTTTGATTGGCCTTCTGACACATCTCATGGACAGAATCTTTAAAAATAACATTATTCAGGAGAGGAATTTGTTTTAAATGACAAAAAAAAAAAAACATGGTCACAAACATTGATGCCATAAACTTACATCCTTGATGCTTGAAGCTGAATGAGCAAGACAAGAGCGATTATTAAAAGAGCATTGATAAACCTCATTTTGAAGATTACCCACGTCAATCAGCCTCCACGTTTTGAGGTCCTGAAAGATATAAAAATCAACAAAAAAAGGACCGCACAATATAAGTTTTTGGCTGTCTTTTTGACATACAATAGATTACAAGAGAAACCAGAGACACAAAGAACATCTTGAAGTTTTAGATGAGGAGTTATGACAATGTCTTCTATATAAGTGGTAAGAAATTTATTACTATTAGGTATACCAACTAGAGCATGATCTGAAATAGCAAGCTTTTTATCAAGAAGTTAATTGGAACCAACCATATGGTTAAAGACATCACTGTTAATAATCCACATGTTATCGGACTTACCAGTATGATTAACGAGGCTCAAGGAACCACAAATTAATAAACACCTAAGCTGATTATATTGTTACATGGTAAGACCAGAGATGGGTGAAATATTTGAGCCATCACTCAGTCCTGTTGTGAACTCAATTTGTTTCCCCTGAATCAGTTGAGTTCACAACATATACATGGTTCATTAATTTTCAGGTTGCAAGCTTGCTTGGTTTCTCTTAATCACTGCGATGTTGTTGTTTTCAACCTGGTGGATACCTTATCAGTTGATAGCATTCAACTTGTGCATGGTTTAAATAATTTCAATTCTTACATTGCTTCTAAAATTTGTGATGTCCCCTATTGAGTTTTGAAGTGGCAATAAGTATAGTGGCTTCTATGATCGAAAGTTGTGACCATGCTATTGCTTGTTATCTTTTTTCATGAAAAATCATGCCATAAAATTTACTTAATGATGATAAAGGCTCACTGTTTAGGATTTACAAACATATCATCTGGAAAGAATCATTTAGACTAGGGAAAAATTAAAGCACCTTCCCTCTCTTTTTAACTACTGGAAATTCTTTTCCAACACTAGTGACATTGAGGAATAATATCAAATATCTGGAGTTCATCCCAAAGAGCCTTAAACTTGGAATAATAGATATCAATTGTTTTGTTGTCTTGACGAAGCATGTAGATCTTTTTATTGAGTTCAGGTAATGCGTGCAGCGTTCACTTGAAATAATAGATATCAATTGTTTTGTTGTCTTGACGAAGCATGTGGATCTTTTTATTGAGTTCAGGTAATGCGTGCAGCGTTCACTTGAAATAATAGATATCAATTGTTTTGTTGTCTTGACGAAGCATGTGGATCTTTTTATTGAGTTCAGGTAATGCGTGCAGCGTTCACTTGAAATAATAGATATCAATTGTTTTGTTGTCTTGACGAAGCATGTGGATCTTTTTATTGAGTTCAGGTAATGCGTGCAGCGTTCACTTGAAATAATAGATATCATCAATTTTGTTGTCTTGACGAAGCATGTAGATCTTTTTCTCGAGTTCATGTAATGCGTGCAGCGTTCACTTGAAAAAAATGCTCATCTAATTCTAGCCATAACTCTCTTGTAATGTTAGCATAAACCATACTATCATGCAAATCTTGTGAAAAAAGCTTTGAAAATCCATGGAATTGCACTCTGTCCTAACTGTATATTGTTCTGCAGTCTATTCTGGTCTCTCAAAAGATCCATCAATAAAACTTTGTTTTTTCTTTGGCGTAGAGAGCATTCTTTATGACTCTCTCTTTCATGTAGGTAATTATCCCCATTGAGAACACAAGTCATGAAAATAGTCCCCAAGTTATCTAAGGGATGCAAAAAATATGGTTTACAAGGATCATTAGAGGGTTGTGTTTGGTTATCTCATCCTCTCAATTTACTAGTAGTTGTGTTTGTTTTGGTTGCACTTTCTTTTGACATGCAAAAGCTCTGGTACCGTGAGACAAGAACAAGTTTGGAAGCCAAAAGCTTAGAATTATCATTCTACAACATTGCCTCTATAGGTTGTATTGCAGTAAATACAAAGGATTTTATATATGCCAGAAGGTAAACACATTCAATTCTAGTTATAAGTAGTGTATCTCACAATAATAACAATGTCATTCAGCATTACCATTTAACTTAGAGAGACCATCAAACCTATTTCATGCAAGCTTTGCTCGATTCCATAGCGTAGGTTGCAACAGTGTATCACTAACTGATGAAGGATATAGTTAAATACAATTTTAAATTATTGGTCGCGAGGTAAAATTTAGAAAGGTTTTATTAATTTTTTTCTTTGATCTCTTTTGCATCATATAATCTTGTATCATTGCATACCACTGCATCAATGTGGTATTACTTCTGCATGATTATGGTACTTTTACATTGCATGTTATTTTCATTTTCTTGATATGAATTTTACAAATATCATCTGTTTGGATGCTTATAGGAAGATCTCGATATGGTATTGTGTCGCGGGTCAGTCAAAGAAAGGATTTTCAATCCATGGATGGAGCTGATGAGTAGTCAAGGCTGTCAATTTGTGGACAATAAAAAGGTGATAGATTTTTCAGTCGATGAGGAAACAGGTTGCATTTCAGACGTAGTTTGTGACAATGAGACATACAGGGCAGATGCAATTATTTTGGCTGTTGGAATTTCCACGGTCCAGGAACTCACTAAGAATAGGTTTGTTGTTCCATAACTTTTTTCATCTTTGATTTGAAATTTTCACTATTAGTTGGACTTTCAGCTCAATATATGTGTCTTTTTACTCAACTGTTAAATCGATAAACGTGACACTCATACTGGTTTGGAACTCTCTTTTAAATCACATTATATGGAATTCTAGGAATCAATGGAGAAGCACTTTACACCTTAGATTATAAACCTATCATGTTTTAACCGGTAATCAGGTCTTATATAGTGCGGCATTAAATACAAGAGAGGAGTTCTTGAAGGTTTTAAACCTGGCTGCCAGTGATTTGGTCTCTACTAAACTTTGGCTGGACAAGAAGGTATGTCCAGGGATAATCCTATATGTCTTTTCTCTTTGGATTTCTCATTCAAATAAAGATAAGAACCATCTAAAACCCAAAACTAGTTTACTTTTGCAAGTTTCAGTTTATTTCCTTGGTTTATTTATAATGAATGAAGCATTCAGGTATTTAGAACTTTAAATTCTAGCTTATATGCAGATTAGAGTCCCAACATGTATTACAAGACAGATAAATAAGGGTCATCATATCTCACCATTAACCACATCCTTAGCTTAAATGCAACATCTTTGCACCAGCACGACTTATGATGATGATGATAAGTATGGATACTTAAACAACTCCATTTTTCTTGAAGTACTTAAAAAATCTTGCACCTTTCTACTCTGACTTGTGTGAGCAGATCAAGATTCCATTTGCAAGGAATGTCTGCTCTTCCTTTGATGATTCATCTGGGTGGACTTTCTTTAACTTGAACAAACTTTTCGATGAGCATAGGAACAGTCCAGTAACAATTGTCCAAGCTAATTTTGTGAGTATTATTCTATAACAAAGGATACAAGCTTTAACAGATTTTGTCTGAGGTGATGCATACCTTTATTCTGATTACTTTTCATGTGCAGTATCATGGTAATGAGTTGGTACCGCTCAAAGACGAATACATAGCTACAAAAGTAATGTCTTATCTCTCCAAGTGCGTCAAGGACTTTGAGGCAGCTCGTGTTACCAATGTGGAAATTGCCAAATTTCCAAAATCTTTGACACATTTCTTTCCAGGTAGATTTCTAAAAGCTTTGCAGGCTAATAACAGCTTGTTTTGCACTAGACATTGTTTGATAGGCCTTTCCTGCTTCATTAAGATTCAACTATCTTTTTTGCATCAAGTCTAACCTTTCCTTCTTTTTCATTAATCTCATCCAACTTTTCCTCTCGCAGGTTCATACAAATATATGATGCGTGGATCTACATCTTTCCCGAACTTATTCATGGCTGGAGATTGGATTATTTCGCGGCACGGATCATGGTCACAGGTGTCTTCTCTTTTTTATTAAATCGATTGCCTGGAGTGGGTTAAAAGAAAACAAAATTTTAATTATATGGTTCTACATGTTATTTACAACAGGAAAAATCTTACGTGACTGGACTCGAGGGTGCCAACCGGGTGGTAGACTTTCTTGGAGAAGGAAACTATGCTAAAATAATTCCATTAGAGGAAGATGAACCTCATATCCAAGCTCTCAGAAACCTTAACAGAAACTTCAAGGAGCTCAGCTCTCAATTTCCACTGTCTAATTATTTCCTCTAGTGAACCTTGCATTCGAATATTCTAATATGTTGCGCTGATCTCTCATAGTTCTTCGTGCTCATGCAGTGTTATTATAGCATCAAGTTCAACGTGTATGCTATAATTTTCGAGACTATACACTTTACACCATATTTTTTAAACTCAGTTTAGCCCAATAAATTAATATAAAAAACTATAACTCGGGTTGATTTTCAATTTGAATTTAAAAAGATATTGACTCGGTTGAACTTAATTAACCTAATTGATTGACTTATGATTCAAATAGGTCAATATTAAGGAGTGTTTTTTTTTTTTAAATATCATTTTGATAAAAATATTAAGCCAGTTTAATTTTTTGATTCATGAGTTGATTGAGTGATTTAATAACTCAAATCATTTTTCATATTAGTGTAAAGATTTTGCTTAATATTAACAATAAAAAAATAAATACTATAAAAATAAAATATAGCATGGATTTTGCATTAATTATGTGAACATTCTCACAATTGGGATCATGAAAAAATAAATTTTGAGTTGATAAAATTTTTTAATCCCACTTAGTAAAAGAAAAATTATTGTGTTAACATTTGTTCAAAAAATTTATATGCAATGTTAAAATACTATATAACCCCTTCCAAGATCCTGTAAGGAAAGAAGTCGATGACTAATCAAGTGTCCAGAGTCTGAATCTCCTTCTTCTGTGACTTAAAAATGTGTTACGTCATCTCCATTGATTTTCATTGGCTGTGAATGTCAATTGCTAGACTAATCTGAGATGTCAACTGTCATACGGTAGCCTGAGCTTGATAATCTGGCATTCATTTTTGGATCAATTATAACATTTGATGGAAATTTCGACAAACTTGCAGAGGGCCCAATTATTGTTTTATGCACACATATTCTCTACCAGGAGTCACAAGACACCGTTTTCTCATCCATAGTTTTGAAACTCGAACTTATTTGATAGATTGATCTGAAATTTAATCGAATCAGATTTGAAACCAGTTTAGATTTAAGTAAAAATTTATCTGAAAATTAGTTTGATAAAAACTAGTCGACTTGCTAGAATCCGGCCGACCCGAATAAACACGGCTGAGACCTGACCGAACTAGTAGAAGAAAGAATGCCTTAACTATCAATTAACAGACGTCAGGCGCCTTTCATAGCAATCCATAGAACGAGCTATGGAAAGAAAGAATTCAATTTCCATCCCTTCACTTCAAAGCAGGAGTCATACTCCCGACCTCTCTCCGCTACCAAAGATAAGAGAAGTTAAAGAACGACGTCAGATCATCTCTTCCTTCTGGCTCCATCTGTGGCTTATGGATCTTGGGGATGGTTTCCAATAGGCAACCATGAAAAGCGAAGAGAAGGCTTACTTGTCGAAGGTAGGCTTAGAGGCTCATTCAAAGTTGCAAGCTGATCCACTTGCCTTATCAATTAGAGGGAAGTTGTCCTAGGCTCTAAAGCTCACCTATACCTTTCACTAAGTCCTTCTCCCTTTCTATGCAAATCCCATTCCTAAACCCTTCTCTCTTTTTTTCTCTACACAGGAAAAAAAATATGGGAAAAACAAGTGAAATTAAAGGGTTACAGCAATACAGTCTCCTATCTTCTTCTCAATCAAATTTTTTGTGTTTTTGGTGGAGGGATTCATGGAAATTTTGTTAAAATGGGTTTGCGTTTGCTGGGTTTTTGAAATTGGAATTGGATTTTCTTTATTAGTGTTTTTGTTAGGTTTTTAATCGGAGTCATTTGTGAGGAGTTGGTAAAAATGTTTTTTTTTATCTAGATGAACTCATTTCACCCATGCATCTATCATTAAACCAAGTTAATTATCAAATTAGGTTTAAAAATTATGATATCATTTATCATTATACACCCTTTTGTATTATGTTTCATGTTGGATAAAATTTATTTAATTTTTTATATTGTTAAATTATTTTGTTATGTTAATATTAAAAATAACTTTTTAAAAATAAAAAATTATTATTTTAATATAATTTTTAAAAAATATCACCTATTATAATTTTTTAAATTAAAAAATATATATAATTCGCAGTGCAGTGCAGGGATGATTGTTAAAATTAAAGAGATATCAATTCTTTTTAATTTGACAATTCTCAAATGCTTTTATTTTTTTACTCGTGAGTGTATATAAGTTTCAAATAAATGAAAAACCATCACCCTCCAACCTGCAATTCTGACAAATATATATTGTGTCCTAGACTATAGTGATTTGCAAGAAAAGCTTGGGCAACAAATTGTGACCCACATCAATAGGGCCATACATCTTCAAGATCACACTGTTATATAGTGGATCATGATCCATGGGGTGCGTACATGGATTGTGTATGGGACACAAGCATTCTTGCCTCGACACATTCTCTACATTCTCTATATACAAGGGGTTCATATTCTTCCATATATGATATACGCCACATTTTTCCTGCTTTCGACACTGTGTTTATCATAGGTCATAAAATCCCATGATTCTGTTGCATATATACTAATAGTTTTTCAGCCGAACAAGATAAAAAGATTCCACAGCCAATAACAATGAAACAAGCAGGGTACGGTCTCCTAAACCCATAAAAAAAGAAATTTCAATGGGTCTTGAGTTCATCATGACTTGAATTGGAAGCTGAGCTCTTTTACCAGCTTCCTGCTGGCAGTGATTAAAGCAAAACTACCATGTCAAACCATGATTTGAACGCACCATTTGATCAAAAAACAAGCCACCTTTTCATATATGCTTTTTTATCATGACTGTATATGCATATGATATGATCATGAGTTCCAAGCGAAGGGAAAAAAAAATTGAAGCGGCTTTGCTAACCCCAATTCATATTACGGTCCTTGGGTAAAATTCGGAAAGGTTGGCCCGAGCAAATCGCCCACCATTACGTATACAAGATAAAGTTGCATGTGCTTATCTATCAATTTCGTATTCACAATGATTTAAATATTTACTCGCCAATTAATCCCAATCTGTTTCCACATACAATACTTAAATTAATCATAGTAATTAACTCAATAAAATTTCACAATCAAGGGCAGGATCCTGCCTTAACGATCCCGTGATGATTTCTTTGTGGATTTGATGAAAATGTCTCCATGTTGCTACTGTGACTAACATTATCTCTGGCAACATGGTGTTAGGGACCACATAATTGGTCTCTTGATTAAGTCAAATTAATTAATTGTGTTTAATTGTCAGCCCAAAACAAAGGGTTGGGATTCAATATGTTATGTGCTGTGTGTATGCTGGAATTCTTCCAATCTCTTGCATGCCTCAAGATCTCCTCCAAACATTTCAGTACCCTACACGTTATGATACTATGATCTACCAAATCTTGAACAAAATGTGGACAAGACTAGCTTTTGATTAACTTGTATTTCACGTGCCTGCATTTCTGTAATCTGTGTTACCTGGATATTGGAGCTTATACTCTGTGTGTGTGTGTGTGTGTGTGTTTCAATTCTTGAGTGCCAATAATATAGCATGCGTTACCGTGTACAGTACTGTGTACGTAATATGTGGAAGAAGAGAGTAATTTTGAGCCCTCGAGGCCGTTCAAAATAAGAGAAAACACGCAAAACAAAAAAGGGAGTAGCAGTTTGGTTGCTCGAAAAGAAATCATGAAGGGTTTAGCTTAGACATACAATTACTTATT